AATCTCAAAGTAAAACAGAGCTGAGGACTGCCCAGATATGCTGTTCATGTGTGTACAAAGAGATTAAGTCTCCAGTTTCCCAAAGCAGGGCTTTGTCTATTGACTGCAGTGACTCACATGATTCTTGGTAAAGCACCTGAAAACACTTCTCCATAGGCTGGGTTTCTGAGGAGCAGTAAGATTATGACTGCTTTTTCCAGCACTAAAATAAATCACAAGTCATATGTCAACAACTGTTAAGTCAGACCCTCTGTCTCAGACCACTCGGCAATACTGGGTAGCTGATATGGTGATTTCTAGAAGTATTTCAGTGTTTTATACTTGTTCATTAAAGAACTGGTAGAATATGCAGGACCCATAAACCAGAAACATAGTGATTAAATGGTATTGATAGAGGCAAATCTTTTACATAAATTCATAGTTAATTTTGTAACTGAGTGTGTGCTTTGATATTTAAGATCCCTAAGATTTTATTTCTCACTTATTTCTCTTGGGCAAAGAGAAATTAACACACAGAAATTATGTAACTTTAACTTATCTGTAAAAGAATTTATATTTTTCATAAGTTGTGTTTATTGAGCTCTTATCATGAACAGGGCACGTTGTTAACACTTGGACTATGAAGTAAGTATAAGGCATCATTTTTCTAGCAGCATAAGTTGTATTTGCTAAAAAAAAAAAATTCCAGTGTTACAGTTCTGCCTTAGAAGAGTTCTTACTCTAGCAATCATCTACTTTTCATCAGGAAGAATCTGATTCTTTTGTATGAAAGAAGGAATGTTCCACTAGAAACTACTTGAAGATGGTACTTGGGCTATCATGAACTAAAGCAAGCTATTCTTAAGTAATCTTGGTTGACCAGAACGTGGCATGGTGGGTTAAGGTGCTAGATTCCCATGTGGCCAACCATGTTCTAAATCCTGGACATGGCAGCTTAAAAAAAAATTACAAGTAAATAGATAAATAGATTTAAAAAAAAAGAATCTTAAGAGACTGGCCCCATAGCTTATGGTTAAAGGAGCCCAATCCCACATGGCTAACAGCGGTTTGAGTTGTGGCCCAGTGGCTTGGAAAATGCTGAAGTTATATGTACATGCGTGCCAAGATCCTGACAGTATGGAGAAACAGAAATGACTGTGATGTGACTATGCCCCAATGGAGGATGCTTTCTTCCTCTGGCAAGTGCATGTACCCTCTGGCAATTTAAAGACAAACTAGTATTAGAAAACAACAACATTGGGGCCAGTAGATGACCTTGTGGTTAGGTTGCTGGAGTCCACATGGCCAACTGTCACTCAAACCCCAGGCCCAGCAGCTTGAAAATCACACTGGGCACATGTGTATAAGTGCCCAAGGTCCCAAGAGAAGAATGAAAGAGAAGGGACTGATTGTAGTGTGGCCATCCACACTAAGGGGTGATCTCACTTTCCCCCCTTCTCCAGCAAGTGCACAATGACAAAAACCTTTTAAAAAGAAAACAACATTCTATAGTAGAGTGCTTACGAATGTTAACATGGCATCTTGGCAGGGTGAGCAAGTGGTGTAGTGGTGGTTAAGGCACTGGACTCCCACATGGTGGACCACAATTCAAGTCCCAGACCTGGTGGCTTGAAACTCATGCCAAGGTATGTGTGGATGCATACCCAAAATCCAGAATGATAGAGGACAAGGGATTACAGTGTGACTATCCTCTCTGGGAGGGGTGATTTCTCACTTTCTGTTTCTGTCTCAGGCAAGTTGCTCATACCCTGTAGCAAAAAATCTCTCTTAAAAAACACCATCTTGGCAGCAATATTTTATATTAATCAAAGGAAAAGTTACTGATAGTTACTGTGTAACTTTCTTAACTTTATTGTTTTTTTTTTAATTTGCTATAGAGTACATCTCTCATCAGAGAGAGATACAGAGAGAAAGAGATAGAGGCAAATTTTAAAAGCAAGTCACCAGGTCCGCAACTTGAACCATAGTCTGCCATGTGGGGAGTCCAGTGCCTAAGTACCATGCCACCTACTGGTCTCAATACTGCATAACTGTTTAAAAAGATTGAGCAATGTGACAATCGAGACTTTAATAAAGGAGATCTGGACCAGATTTCTATCTTTAACTTAAGGAGAAAACTAGCACACTTGAAATGTACATTTATGAACTTAAAAGTAAGAATGTCACACTTTCATTGACTTTGTAGTGGACACCAATGTACTACTCATGGATTCATTCCCTCTTTCCCTCTTCCTCTCTCCCTCCCTCAGACACAATACCCCTGCAGCACTCACTTCCCAGGCACTGGGGATGTTGGTGGCTGATGGCTCTCAGGGGTCCCTCTCCAGGCTTCATCTTCAACTTAAAGTTCTATCCCTTGCTTCCAGCGACTAATCCACACAAGGTATGAAGGCTCTAATCCACACAAGGTATGAAGGCTCGTCCCCTTGCCTGGATATAGCCTAATTGGAGGGCCATCCTAGCACTAAAAACTTAGCTGAGGACTCTCCTAACTGCACCCTAAGCCGATTTCTCCCTTGTTCACTCCCTCCATGTTGATCTTGGAAAGCATTCCCATGTAAACTCTGAACCCTAGTCTCCATCTCAAAGTCTCTTCCCCAGGGAACCTATCTGCAACAAATTCTAAACTCAAAGCCAAGAGGACTTGATTTGTACTTAAGACAACCAGACTCTTTCTCGAGATTTATTTTTCTTGCCTTTTCTATTTGTAGGACCAAGGAGCTGGGGGTAGGGGTAACTCCTTACCTTCAACATTTTCTGATTCACACTTTATATTTTATGAAAATGTAAAACATGACCTCCAAACACTTGGTGGAGTATTCCAGTGTCTTACTGAAGTTCCCCATTTCTACCATATCCTACCTAACCCCACCCAATTTAACCTTTACTCTAGCCCCTACATTAGGGGAATCTTAAAGGAAAGGAATTGAACTCCAATTAATACATACATAACATGCCTAAATGGGACTGGCTTTTCATTACAGGGTGGTGATATTGCCAGGCTTTTTAAATTATTTTAAAATACATTCTATGTCCTGGGGAAGTATTGGCATTTTATGGATCTAGTAAGCTATGGTTATTTCCACCTCATGTGTATTTATCAGCACTGTGTTGAACTGGTATATCACAAAACACCCTTAACTTTTAATTCACCTTTATTAAAGACTTATTTTAGGGACCAGCAGATGGCATAAGATGAAACCTGGAGAGGGACCCCTGAGAGCCATCAGCCACCAACATCCCCAGTGCCTGGGAAGTGAGTGCTGCAGGGGTATTGTGTCTGAGGGAGGGAGAGAGGAAGAGAGAAAGAGGGAATGAACCCATGAGTAGTACATTGGTGTCCACTACAAAGTCAATGAAAGTGTGAGTGACATTTTTTACTTTGACGCTGGACTCCCAAGTAGTCAACCTCGGTTCGAGTTCTGGACATGGCGACTTGGAACGTGTGCCAAAAATCTTGAGAGGAGAATGGAAGAAAGGGACTGCAGTATGGCCATCCCCTCTGGAGGGTGATTTCTCATTTTCTGTCTCTCTCTGGTGAGCACACATGCCCTATCACCAAAAAAAAAAAAAAAAAAAAAAAAAGACTGCTATTTTTACATATATGTAGAAAATAACTTACTAGATATTTTCACATCCAAAATAGTCATGAAAAGGTTTAAAAAGAGGTTTTGTTCATTTTGTTTTGTTAATGTTTTATAAGAGGTTTTTATATTAGATTTTATAAGGGAAATCTTCTCACTAGTATCAAATACTATATTGATATTATAATATTCTTGTGGTCTAAACTTGTTTAAAAGCTATTGTTTAAGCTTTTACATTAAAAAAAGTTTGTGTGTGTGTGTGACCTCATAAAGGCTATCAGATATAATCATTAAACAGTGTAGCAATCATTTAACCCAGAGATCAATACCCTCTAAGTGGAATGTATTTTTTTCATTATTTGATTATAATATACTAGTACTGAGGAAGCGACAAGAGAAAAGGCTTCAGAAGCATTCCTGGCCCTCAAGAAGCTTGCAGTCCACCAGGGAATACTGATAGCAAATAAGCATTACAACACCAAAAGAGTTCATACCTGGGACACTAACCTCTCATAGAGAGATGAAATTTAAAACTTTGTTTTATTGTCATCATAAGTATCATGAGACCACAAAAGCCTAGGACAAAATATTTAAAAACAACATCTTAGAAAGGGTAACCCTGGAAGGAAAAAGCAGTGTTTGATTTGAATATAACCTATTCTCGTTCAAGAATTTAAGTGTTTTCAAACAGTAGCTAAAATTCAATGTTTACTTTTTCCTTTGTTCATATACTTAAACCTGAAATTAAGCCAAAAGGCATGATATGAGACCCCAGAAAACTCATCCTAATCTCAAATAATCAGAATATAAGAACTCAATGAAGAAAAAGATTTCAATAGCACTAACAGCTCATAGGATGTAAAACTTCTCATTTTATATTCAGAAAATTCAAAAGCAGAGCTAACCCTAAAGTTGGGCTGTCCTGGAATGTGTTTAGAGGAGTTCACACAGTCTGGCCCTGTACAGCCATTGAGCACTCTCTGTAGTGAAGTTGAATCCTGCATAACTGACCATGGTTGTAATCTTGGCCCCAGTGGCTTAAAAAAAAACTTCAGGGCCCAGCAGATGGCAAAATGGTTACTGGATTCCCACGTGAGAGGTTCAAGACCCAGACCCAGCAACTTAAAGCTCGCAACGCAAGACACATGTATGTGCATACCCAAGATCCCCTTGGGATGATTTCTCACCTTCTATCTCTCTGGTGAGTGCACACACCCTATAGCAAAACTCTCTCAAAAAAAAAAAAAAAAACTCATACAAGTTCACTATTAGTTCAAAGAACTTTTCATATGACAGCCATCAGTGACAACTGTCTATTAAGAGTGAGCAGCATGGGATACAGAAACAACATAAACCTGAATCTCACACTTTTCTTTCATGTTATTTGAGTTTCAGAGTGAGTTAAAATATGACTCAAAATCACAGCAGTGGGACAGAACACTGCTTCATTTTAACGCTGCCCACAGCTTTGACCCTTGAGAACTTTTGGTCAAACTCTGTGTAGTAAACCATTTCATTAAACAGGGTTAGGTTCCTAGTCTCAAAAGGCTGGTTATGATATACTAGAAGTAGGGAAGTGACAAGCAAAGAGGCTCCTGAAAGTCAGTGACCATGTTCTCCTAAGTTATAACCAACTATAAGTCTTCCCTCTGGTCTCTCTTCTGTGCTTTGTAAACATGGACATCTTTCTCAGGATCATAGAGAACCTTACTCACAGTAAAGCATCCCTCCAGCTTTGCTAAGAAGTTGGTATCCCGTTCGTAGCGAATCCGGCAAGCTAAAAGAATCACGGAGTGGATGCTACAGAGATATTCCAGGGTCTGAAGAAGATCAGTGAATGTTTCTTCTAAATATATGATATCAGCTCCAAGTATCAGGTCAAATTCTCCAGGTGAAAAACTCCCCAAATTCTGTCCCCAAGTCAGCTCCTTAACAACAGCTCTGGGTTGGATATGGGGAGGTAAGTTGGCTTGAACGTTCGATTTAAGAAATTCTAATGCTACTTTTCGATCCGTGATAGTCACATGAGCACCTACAATGAAGGACAAAGACAAAGTAATGTTCACATCAGTAAAACTCCCAGGTTAAATCTAGAACACCTCTAAGTTGCTATGCACAGTGCCATGCCCCACCAGGAGAGCTGCCATAAATCAAACAGTGACCACTGCACTGCTTCCTGTAAAAGTGACTTTTTGGCCTCTATGACACACTTGCTGTTTCCTGAAGTGTACCTATAAATTGTAGAATGGGGCCCAGCCATGGTGGTACACAGACAGCAGGCCAGAAGCCATGTGGAGGGTGCAGGTTCAGTTCCTGGGCCAACCTAACTATGCTGGGTGTGCCTGTAATTCTAACCAATTGCAAGGCTGAGGCAGGAGGATTGCAACACAGCAAGACCCTGTCAAATATGCTCATACATATCATCTCTGTCTCTCCTATAAAAGAAAAAACATCAGAGTCACCAAGTAACATAACTTGATGCTCCTGAATGCTGCCAGCTGAGCTGGGTCACCCTCCACTGGCATCTACCACTATCCTTGTTTAATTAGTTCATGATTATCAAGTCAGCAGGACCTCATGGTAAAACAGACTCCAAGAATGAAATGCTGGGAACCAGCCATGGTGGTATGCACTGCTAAGATGCTGCTGCTTAACTGCCTGGAACCACATGGGGAGCCCAGCTTTGATTCCCACTCTGACTTGAAAGCTGGGCATGGTGGCTTGCACCTGTCATCCCAGCTGGGAGACTGAGGCAGGAGGGTCACAATACAGAGACCCTAGCTTTTTTACTTATTTTTTAGATTTTTGACATAGGACACATGCATTCACCAGAGACAGGGAAAATGAGAAATCTACCCCCGCCCCCCAGGTGGGGGGTGGAGGGCAGCCATGCCACAATCCCTTCTCTATTCTCCTCTCAGGATTTTGGGCATGCATGTACATGTCCCCAGTGGGAGTTTCAAGCCTCTGGGTCCAGGACTTAAACCATGATTGATCATGTGGGAATCCAGCACCTTAACCTCCACGCTGCCTGCTGGCCCCCAGAAACCATTTTAAAAAAATAATAAAGAATGAAAACTCGGGGAGCTATTATTCTGAAGATGATAAGAAACTAAAATCAGGAAAAAGTAGTTAGAGAATCAAGGAAGAGAGAAAACTGGCTACTAAGAACTTCCTGTCCTTATGCTATTATAAAGAAGAATTTTTATGTACTTATGTCATAGATATAATTATTGAGATATTGAAAATTTTTAAATTACTTTATTGTATTCACCTGAAGTATACAGAAAATTAATGAGTCAATATTTTATTCACCTGTTTGTATGTTGTTTCTTTTTTTTTTAGGGGGAGAGATTTTCACTCTGGGGTATGAGTGCTTGCTGAGGAGACAGACAGAAAGTAAGAAATCACCCCTCAGGGGGGATGGCCACACCGCAATCCCTTCTCCTCCATTCTCATTTAGGGACTTTAGGCATGCATGCACACATGCCTGGTGTGAGTTTAAGCCGCTGAGTCAGGGACTCAAACCATGGTTGGCCATGGAGTCCAGCAACATAACCGTTACGCCATCTGCTGGTCCCTCTTGTGTGTTGTTGACAAGAAACTAGAAGACCTAAGTTTCTGAACTAATGTGGGTGAGAAAAGTCTGTACTGTGGGTAACTCTTAAAGTAAAGCACCCACTTGAAGTCAGCCCTGACAGACCTCATTTATGTAGCAACAACGTTAGTGTAATCCTGTTTCGTTTTGGCCCCTGAAGTTCTGAAATTTAAAAATGTTTCATTTATTCATAAAATTATTTCCTGGCACCATCTTCGGTTAGTAATGTCCATGGATCCTGCAGGATCTCAGACCAGCTATGGTCAGTGCCATACTGGTGGCAGCTCGTGTTGGATGGTTCTTATCTTTTTTTTTTTTTTTTTTGAGAGATTTTCACTGTAGGGCGCGTGCGCTCGCCAGACAGACAGAGAGAGACATAGAGACAGAAAGCGAGAAATCACCCCCCAGGGGGGATGGTCACGCCGCAATCCCTTCTCCTCCATTCTCCTCTCGGGATCTTGGGCACGCACGCACACGCGCACGGCATGAGTTTTAAGCCACCGGGTCCGGGACACGAACCGCGGTCGACTACGTGGGAGTCCAGCGACATAGCCATTACGCTAACTGCTGGTTCCCGGATGGTTCTTATCTTGATGTGTGACGTTACAGCAGTAATTCCATTTGCCGTTTACAGTCCTAGTGGGTGACGCTGATTCGTCAATATCAAGGTGTTAGACTGCATAAGCCCAGGCCTACCACTCTGACCATGCACTGCGAGACAGTGTGCTGCCCAACGAGCAGAATTCAATGGCAACTTCCGTCTCTTCTGATGATAAAAACTGCAGACAGCTGTTTCCTAGTTTGACTTAGCACTTAAACTCTGGATTTCTTAACAGTCCCGCAAAGCTCTCTGCTGGCCATACTGGAGTGACACAGCCTTGCACACATTACTTCAGTATTCATTTGAATAGATCTTAATTGTAGACCTTCTCTAATGCCTCTCAGGCATTTTGAGGCTACTTCTTTTTTTTTTTTTTTTTTGAGAGATTTTCACTGTAGGGTGCGTGCGCTCACCAGACAGACAGAGAGAGACATAGAGACAGAAAGCGAGAAATCACCCCCCAGGGGGGATGGTCACGCCACAATCCCCTCTCCTCCATTCTCCTCTCGGGATCTTGAGCACGCACGCACATGCGCCCGGCGTGAGTTTTTTAAGCCACCGGGTCCGGGACACGAACCGCGGTCGACTATGTGGGAATCCAGCGACACAGCCATTACGCTAACTGCTGGTTCCCTTGAGGCTACTTCTAACCTGCTAAGTAGTTCAGAAATTTGGGCAGGACCTTAATAGTCCCTGTAATAGCCATCAATTCTACACGTATCTGAGTGGCTGTCATCAGCTGTGGGACAGAAACCCTTATCCTCACAGATGCTGCATTCAAGTAAGGAAACAGGCAGTAAGGTTTTTTGTTTGTTTGTTTGTTTGTTTTAAGATTTTTGCCATAGGGCACATGCACTTGCCAGAGAGGGGCAGAGGAAGACAGAAAGTGAGAAATCATCCCCCGGGGGAATGACCATGCCCCAATCCCTTCTCCTTCTGGATTTTGGGCACACATGCACAAATGTGTGGTGTGCTTTCTGAGCCTCCAGGTCTGGAACTCAAACCGTGGAGTCAGCCATGTGGGATCTGGCACCTTAAGCACCACACCCCCACTAGCCCCCAATAAGGTGTTTTCTAAGAGATAAAATAGCCGAAATGTGTTAAGAAAAAGAATAAAGCAGGAAAGGCAGACGTGAAAGGTCAGGAAATAAGGGTGAGTGGATAGGGGGGGCTTCATTGGGAGAGGGAGAGAGGACCTAACCTAGGGCTGTTCAGGGGAAAGAACATTCCTGGTGGACAGAGGGGCAGGTACAGAGGACCAGAGGGGGCAGGCAAGGAAACCAGAGTGGTTGGAACAGAGCAAATGACACAGGAAGTCATAGGGAAGGAGTCAAATGAGGGGAGGAAGGCCCATCACCCAGGGCTTAGTAGGTCACATTTCAAAAACGCTGTAGCTTTTACTGAAATAGGAAGCCACTGGAAACTCAGAAGCCACTGGAAAAAACTGAGAAGAAGATCCCACTAAAACCTAAGTCAGTGTGGGTTTAAGGGCCAGCACAGCCCCAGCACAGGCTGGCTCTGGTTTCCAGGATCCCTGGCATTCACTTTGTGACATTAGCTTCTAGGCAAGGCCAGAAACAAGGAGGCCCGGTGAAGGATGGCAGGAGTCTGCACCTCACTGCAGCTGTCCCAGACACCCTCCAGGGCTCAGCTCCCCAGTGCATCTCGAGGGAGCCCCCTCCTGGCTTTCCTGGGGATCACTTTTACCATTCCGTCGACATCTGCCAGCTGAACAGCCATCCCTGCACAAGGCAGCTTTGTCTGTGGTTTCGTTTCTGCCTTCTTGCTTGTTTGGGGTAGGGAGTACAGGGGATGTTCAGTCCTTTAACCTATCAGTTTCTTTTCCATCTTTTTCCCCCCTGTAATTAAGAAATAGACCACTTGTCCCATCATTTCCCAGTTGAATTTGCCGACTGTGTCACTGGGGCAGTTCCACATGTGCCCGTCCTCTGTACTGCCTTTGTTTAATTTGAGTCTGATTTTTCTGAACAGGACAATTTCAGAGGTACATAATGTCTGGTGGACTCTTTTTGTGACATTAGCAGCCACTGATAATGCTCAGATCCTAAATCATTAGATTCCTTTTACATTTATTGAAAATTCTATAAAAAGAAGCTTCTCTCCATTACTGTCTGATTGTGTATAAAGAACTGTCCAAAAAAGGATCGAGTTCCCTTCTCCATCCCCTTTCATAAGCCAGAGTCCGAAATAGAGTTGGCTTCTCAAGATCCTCCAAAGATGGTAACTAGGTTTAGTTTGTTGTTATGGGTTAAATATACTTGATGTATTTTAATCCACTGCACTTATTGTTATTGCTGTTCAAATTGCCCCATCTTTTACCAGTGGCCTCTGACACACCCCAGTCATCTTTGACAGATTCCTTGCTCTTGTATTCTAGGGTCACATCATACATTCCACTTAAGAGTTGTTTTTTTGTTTGTTTGTTTGTTTGTTTTCCCACGTGGAAAAAGTCAGTTTGCAGGGACAGACAGGAAGCCAATACTTCAGAAGAAACACAGAACAAGAGCAGGAAGGGACGATCCAGAAAGCATTTTACATGCCTGGTCTGGCGGTTTCTGCTCTCCATTACTGTCTGATTGTGTATAAAGAACTGTCCAAAAAAGGATCGAGTTCCCTTCTCCATCCCCTTTCATAAGCCAGAGTCCGAAATAGAGTTGGCTTCTCAAGATCCTCCAAAGATGGTAACTAGGTTTAGTTTGTTGTTATGGGTTAAATATACTTGATGTATTTTAATCCACTGCACTTATTGTTATTGCTGTTCAAATTGCCCCATCTTTTACCAGTGGCCTCTGACACACCCCAGTCATCTTTG